TTTTGTGTTGTGCACCAGTACTGAGTTCATGTGGCTTGTTTGGATGTGCCACTGTGGCACCCAAGTTATTAATAAATATTTTTAAACCTTTACCTTCTCTCTGCTGCCATGTCTCCTCCCCTTGTTCCATCAGCTCCCCTGGTGCCTGCTGCCTCCCAACTCCTCACCCTCCTCCGCTGTCCTGACTCCTACCCTTCTCACAGCCCTCAGCCCTCCTGCAACCTGCCCCCCCTCCACCAGCCCTTCTCTCCTCCCTGTTCCCACTCCTCCTCCTCATCCCCTCTCCTAACACCTCCCTCTACACACCTGCCCTGCCTCTCTCCTCTGGTGCTGGTCCCTCCCCTGCAGGTGTCTGCCCTTCTGCTTCGCCCCCAGAATCCCCTGGCACCTGCACCTTCCCTTAGCCCTACACCCTCCTGGTGCCTCCCCCTTCCCTCACTGCCCCTGGCCCCTTTGCCCTCTTTTTCCCTGATGCCCACCCCCTCTCCAGCCTCTGCCCTCGTTCCCCTCATGCCTCTGTGCCCTCACACGACTTGCTCCATCCCAGCCTCCCTCATGCCCACCCCTTCTTTCAAGCCTTCTCCCAGCATCTCCCCGTCCCCTCTCTAGCCCCCGATGCCTTTACCCTCTCCCCTCCCAGCATCACCCTGTCCCCCTTCCACTGACACCTCCCCTCCTGCCTTTTTCCTCATTGTCTGGCATTTGTTTCTCTTCTACCCTGTCCCTTTGGTGCCTTCCCCTCTCCTCCCCCTCCGCACAAGCACCTTCCTCTCCTAGCCCTTCCCCTTCCCCTACCTTCTGCCTTCCACTTTGTGGAGCTGGAGTCTGCACTCCGTCCCCGGACTCCGAACCCGCAACTCAGCCATACAGCGCAATGCAGCACCCAGCAGTTTTAAAATCCTGGGCTGAACGCCGTGCAGGGCAGCAGCAGCCAGCAAGGGGAAGTTCAGTGAAGGTTGCGCACAGCAGGGACGGGCACGGGAACAGGGGAGAGATGCTCTGGGACCGGGGTGAGAGGACGCATGGGGGGGCCGAGGCTTGCTCTAGTTCCAAATATTGGTGGAGCATGGACACCACGAGCCCATACAACTCACTGCCCGTGCCTCTGCTGGCTAGCCAGTTCTTTGTCTTTCAGAGGGGGCGGGGGAGTGCTAGCTCCTCGCGGAACCCCTAGCCTTGCTTCGCGGAACCCCAGGGTGTCCCGGAGCACCAATTGGAAAACACTGCTCTAATACATTAGCGTATGAGCCAATGGAAAAGAAGTGTCTATGAAGCATCTTATTTTTTGTAAGAAGTGCGTTTTTTGTTTTATTTTACTGCCACCAAATGTGTCACTGTACAATCAACACTGAAGACAGTTCAGATTCTCAGGCATTTTGGCACCTCTCCCAGATTTCTTCACCTCACCCACCCCCCCAAAAAATCATTAGGCTTTGACAGTAACAGGTAAAAATCTAACCGCTCTCTGCAACTCTCAACACAGACCTCTCACGCGCGGCGTCTCTGCATTATTTTACTGCCACCAAATGTGTCACTGTACAATCAACACTGAAGACAGTTCAGATTCTCAGGCATTTTGGCACCTCTCCCAGATTTCTTCACCTCACCCACCCCCCCAAAAAATCATTAGGCTTTGACAGTAACAGGTAAAAATCTAACCGCTCTCTGCAACTCTCAACACAGACCTCTCACGCGCGGCGTCTCTGCAACACTTTCAACAAAGACATTTCAATCTCGCTAGTTTTGTCCTTAATACTGG